CAGCCTTGCTGCCTGTGCTTGCTGCGCGGGTCGCGGCGCGGTGCGCCGGGCCTCCCCTTCCCTCCTCCCCTCCTCGCGGCCGCCGCCACCGCCTACTCCTCCTCTTCACGCCGCTCTCCGGCTGCCCTCCCGCCGCTCCCACCTTTTCTCCTCCCTCCTCTCTCTCCAGCGGCCTCCCCCGATAGCTGGAGAGAAAACCAGTCCCCCACCCCGCCCCGCAGCCCGTGCCCTGCCGCGGCCGAGTCCGGACGCGAAGGGCAGCGATCCGGCTCCAAATTACCCTGCGCGGCGAGCGCGAGCAGGCGCGCGCTGCGACTCCTGGCTCGGGGCTCGGCTGCGCCGCGGGGCAGAGGATTAGAGTCGCAATTAGCTCTGCGCGCCCGCGCCAGGCGCGCTAGGCGACAAAAATGCGCTGTTTCCCCTCCTTTTGCTGGGTGATTCCAACCCGCCTCTCTCCGAGCCCGCGCCTTCCCGCTGGGCCCCCGCCAGGGCCCTCCCGGGAACGGTGCGCTCAGGCCCCGAGCCCTCCGCGGCCCAACCCCGCCCCCCCGTCGGCAGGCCACGCGGCGCCCGGGCCTCCTCCGGGCTCGGGAAGGGGGTTGGGGAGAAGCTGATTTTAATCATTGTCATTTCATCTGATGTAATATTTCCCCGGGCGCTTTCAGCTGGGCATAAATTTTCGGTTCCCAAATAAGTAACACAGGGCACGTTTCTCACATTTCTTGACTCCTCGGTTACAAAGAGGAGAGAAGCAGCCGCCGCGGTGCCTGGGGGTGGGGGCGGGACTTGTTAAGAAACTGGGCTGCGAGTCGGCGGGGCTCGAGCGGAGCCGGCGGCCAGGCCACCCCTCCCCCTTCCCGGGCTCCCTCCCTCGGTCTCTGCCCCGGCTGCCCCTCTCCTGGGGAGCAGAGCTGCCCGTGACGTCTGGCGACACGCGGTTGGTCACCGCGGGGGAGGGGCGGGCCGTGGCTGCTCGGCCGCCCGCCCGCGGCCAGACGCGCCATTTCCTTTACCCGCGCGACGAGATGGACCCGTCTGAGGCCAAGGCGCCCCCGGCACTTAGGCTTTCGCCTGGGGCGCCCCTCCCAGATCACTGCCTAGGCTGTCCCTTCCTTCCCTTCCCTTCCATCTCCTCCTCCCCTTCCTCTTTCCCTTGTGCCCCGCCCGTCACTCCTCCTCCTCCTCGACCATTTCTCGGCTCCTAGGAAACCAAGCGAGGAACCTCCGGTGCGCTTGGCCCGCACTGCGCCCCGCCTGGTTTAGAGGGCTCCCGGGCCAGAGCCCAGCTAGGACTGGAGGGTGTGTGCGGCGCGGGGGCCAGCACCCCTATCTCCTTCTGGGCCTGGGCGCCCTCTAGCGGCTGCACTCACGCGGGGCGCGGGGGCTTGTCCTGGAGCCTCGGGGCTGGTGGGTGGGAGGATGAATGGAAGCCTGCCTCCTTTGACTAGGGTACCCAGTACTGGGAAAGAGCGCCCGGACCGCGCTTCTGTAAATTCTCCACACGGGAATAAGCAGAAACTTTCCTCCTAAGGGAAGGTTTTATTTATTTATTTATTTTAGAACTCCAACTACAGGAGAAGGGAAATTTTCCTATTAAAGTTATATCCCTGCAGTTAGTTCAATTACTTGATATATGCAGAAGATGTTGTAAATTTATAGATTTAAATAGCTTACAAAGATGCCCCAGGCCCCATCAGTTAATTTCTTTAATTTATGGATCTTTAGCTCCTCCTAGAACGGAAAGGGGCCCTGGAAGTAGGTCAGGGATCTTTGAGGCGGCCCTAGCGCGGGCCAGGGTGCGGCTATCAGCTTCTGGTGCCCATCTTCCCCCAGACAGCACCGTCCTGGGCGCACTGCACCCTAGCCAGGTCCAGCCTGGAGGACAGGTCCGTTTGGCTCACCGCCCCCATCTTTGCAGGGCGCTGCAGGGCCCATGAACAGAAAAGCCCAGTCTACACAGACCTTATTCAGATTTGAAGGAACAGCCATAAATAAGTAGTGGAGCAAATAAGCAATTTATTATTATTTTTAACCTCTTGAGCCATCCCTAGAATGTTGGGTAGGATCACAACTGGAGGCTGTCGTGTGTGGGTGCCCCAAAATTCTTTGTGGACAGAAACTTTCTGGGCCATTGAGGGAAGCCCATATTTGGGAGGTGGGAGACCGATGATAACTGCTCCAGGCTCCTGTTTCAGGAGCATGGACCCACTCAAAATCTGCTTGTCATGGCCCTGGTGGCCCCCAGCGCTCCTCACTTCTCTCTTCTCCTAGGTGTCTGCTAAAGCTTCTTTGCTGTATTCAGTATGGATGAATATATACATACAAATTAATACTTAAAAGATTGGTATAAACTAAACTGTTTTAGGAAGCCACATGGCTGTGTGATTAGTATTGGTATTCATGATTTAACGTTTCTTTTCCCACTAGATGAAGTTTCTAAGATTTGCAAGGTACATGTCAAGGACGGGTGTATAAATGGATTTTTATTTATTCACAACTCCAAGACTAATTGCTTCTCTTTGCCTCAAGGCCATGAGATTGCTTTTAATATGACACTTCAAAAGTATTCATGGACTACAGAGATACTAAGTGTCATTGTTTAAGAGACAAATCTCACCTTGGTATTGGTGACCCCAAAAATAGGATGTTCCACTTTATTTTAAATTCCTACTTTTTTTAAAAAGAGTTTTACTTTATACCAACTATATTAAAAATGCACAATTAAAACAAGTGACCATTTTGAAGGATCTTTATTTCCTTAATATTGCTGGGTTGTGTTTTTTGTTTTGTTTTGTTTTTTTATATTCCTGAATCCTTTTGTTAAAGAACTGAACTTCATACATGTCATTAAGAAGAGCAAGTTTGGGTTATAATTTATTCTCAAGTATTTTAAAAGTTTCTAGCTAAATGTTAACCATCTCTTACAGTGAGAGACTTGAACATGGATTGTAATAGGTGTTTTATGATCTCTGGTATATAATGGTGTTACTATTTTTTTTTAATTGAAGATATGTAATTAGGACTGCAAATATGTTGAAACATCTTGTGAAATACATCTTGTCATTGCTGCATTCCAAGAGATGAAATTGGATGTGTGTCTAGTCAGAAAATAACTTGCTTTATCAGAGATTTGACTAGTAATTCACCCATTACCATTCATATTTTGTTAAAATGTGGATTCAAACCTGTGCTCGGTGGTAGTCCTCTTTGGACTACAACAGAAAACACATTGCAGGTCAGGCCCTGCATCCAGATTCTGCCCTCAAGACCTCAGGTTACCAGATGTTTCTAATTGGCTTAGTGGTTAGGTACTTTTTGTTGTTTGCAAACTACCTTTAAAAATTGGGACATCAATAAGAAAATTAAAATGAAATCAAAGAGTCTGCTGAACTCAACCTCTCAGGAAGGTTGGGACCACACTAGCAAATGAACAATCTAAAAGACATGCTGCTGCAGTCTCAGCAGGGCGTCTCCTTCCCTCCTCCCTCTAGGCCCTTTAGGGTAAAATCTAGACCCTCCTTGGTCTGAGCCCACCCAGAGGCTCAGAGATGGCTCCTGTCCAGGCTGGGATTAACCTAGTCTGGCTCAGAGCTCACAGTCTGGTATCTGTTTGACCTCTGCCTCCACCCTGGGAGTCTTCAGTCTTCCCTTCTGGTTAGGACCTCAGAGAACCCAGAGGCTAAAGGAAATACTAAAACGTACTCCTCAAAACTAAGCAGTCTATCTGTTGGTCACCTGGCCCACTCCACAGAGAGCAGGGGTCCAAGCCTATCCCTTCCAGAACTTCTTCTTCTTGTTAGGTGCTATTGAGATGTTTCTGACTCATAGCGTCTCTCTGCACAGCAGAATGAAACACCGCCCAATCCCGCGCCAGCTCCATGATCCTTGCTACACTTGAGCCCATCATCGCACCCACTGTGTCAGTCCATCTCGTTGAAGGCCTTCCCCTCTTTTGTTGATGCTCCACCCTACCAAGCAAGACATCTTTCTCCAGGGAATGGTCCCTTCTGACAACATGACCAAAGTGGATAAGATGAAGTCTGGCCATTCTCCCTTCCAAGGAACATTTTGGCTGTACTTCCTCCAGGACAGATCTTTTAGTTCCTTCCACACTCCATGGTACTTTCAGCATTCTTCGCCAGCACCACAACTCAAAACATCAACTCTTCTGCAGTCTTCCTTATTCATTGTCCAGCTCTCACATTCATATGAGGTTATTGAAGATATCATGGCTTGTGTCAGGTGCACCTTAGTCCTCAAGGAGACATCCTTGCTCCTCAGCACTTGAAAGAGTTCCTTTGCAGCCAACTTGTCCAGTGCTATACATCATCAGAAGGAAGGTTGGGCAATCTACTTCCGTAGTGATACTGCCTCAGAAACCCAAGGAGAAGTCACTATGAGACAGGTCCGATTCAACGGCACATAACAACATACATCGTCTAATGTCCTGACTGCTGCTTCCATTCACATCGACTGTAGAATGAAGCAATGTGAATGCTTTGACAACCTCAATCTGTTCTCCATTTATCGTGTTGCTGCTTATTGGTCCATTTGTGAGGATTTTGTTTTCTTTATACCGAGATGTAATCTATACTGCAGACTGTATTCTTCAATCTTCATCAGTAAGTGCCTCAAGTCATCCTCACTTTCAGCAAGCAAAGTTGTGTCGTCAGCGTATCCCAGGTTGTTAATGATTCTTCTTCCAATCCTGATGCCACGTTTTTCTTCATATAGTCCAGCTTCTCGGATTATTTGCTCAGCATGTAGATTGAATAAGTATTGGGAAAGGATACAACCCAGACACACTCCCTTCTTGATTCTAAACCATG